TCTGAAAAACTCTTACTGGTCCTCTATTAATAAAACCATTTCGTCTGGCAATTTTATGTGCATTTTCTTTGCCGGGAACCTTGGTATGAACGTGAAAATGATTGGTGTATACATCAAGTGCGTCACTTGAAGTAGACACAACGATGAGGAGAATGGCGCATAACTTTATGCATGCACTATTCTCGCTTCCATGCATAATTCTGAAAATAAAAGAAAAAATGCGAGATATAATCATGAAAAGTGGATGAAAAATTGAATACGCTAAAGATATACGACTCAAATAGACGCGATTACTTTCGTTCATGATTAGCCTATTAATTTTAGCACCCCCGTCCAAAAACAATAAACGAAACTTATACGACAATTGTTCGCACATTGTTTTTAAAATCGCAATTGCTGTTATTATCAAAGTACACCAGAATAATTCAGTATTGAAAAGAAGTCAATTGACAAAACTATTCGTAATAAAATGTAAAAATTTCTCAAATAGTTGACCAAACGGCTATTATTACTCAGCTCAAGGAAAAAGAAAGAAGGAATAACATAAAGATTGCTGGCAATAAAGTTCTGTAAAAACTGGGGTTCTTTAACACTACAGTCAGTGACGTCTTTCGGACAAACAAATAAGCAAACAAAAAAATGAAAAAAAACATCATTCAACAATAGCTTTAATCTTTGATGAACATACTTATAGCCATCTGCTAATCATCAACAGCTCATATGACCGGTAGTTGGTCATCTATCTGTTTAGTGGAATTCAAAACGGAAAGCAAGTAGCGAAAAAACTGGCATTAACAAGCATTTTCTACAAAAAAATGTAAATAATTTTGCAAAGATATATAAAAGAAAAGAAGAATTATGTACATAACCAAAAGCGCAGTATTTGAAATTGTTGTGACGTTCCAATAGGTGTGTTCAGTAAGCAAGAAAAAAAGTTAACAATGTGTTTTGTTGGCATCAAAGCTAAGAGTTTAAAGCATAAAATAAAATGTGTTCAAGATAAAGCCTTAAGAAATGATCAATAAAATATTTTTTGAGAACTAAGACAAAAAAGAAATTAAAGTAAAAGAGATTGAAAAAAGCAAAAACAGATCTGGAAAAAGGAAAAATAGAGTGCCAATGGGTATGGAAGATTACTCTGCCCACGTTTTCAGATGGATAGATGGATTAATGGATGGATGAATGGGATAAACGCGTTCGTAAAAGAATAGCCTTGCATGTCGTATCGGACATTTGGTGGCGGATAGAATGGGATAGATGGAAACGGACGGATGGGTTGCGACTGATGCCGCTGTTGATGTTGGTGGTGGTAGTCGCCTGGATATATGCTCAGTGTTTGTTCCACGGCTGTTAATAAAAGGGTGTGTGTTTGTGTCTATGTGTATAAATCGAGCCTTGACACTTTCGCATATAAGCGCATATTTAAGTTCATTTACCAGCAACGTCCAATGCAGTTTTTATCGCTTTCTGATAACAGAGAACAAGCAACAAAAATCATGCTCAAGAAATTCTTCAGTTTATTATTGGCAAACTTATTCAACGTATCGTCTTTCTTTCTATTCTACTTCATTCCATTTCCCAGCATAAGGTTTAATTACCGTTCAAAAATCTAAAAAGTCTTTAGTTCTGTTTTTGTCAAATTCGAAATAAAAGTTACAAATTCTTTGAACGGCAAGGAAAATACCGAAGAAAATAGGTGAAAAGAAATTAAAGTAGTCTTTAAAGTGGTTTCAGTTGGCTATACTTTGTTTCGATAAGCTTTCAAATTGTTGAAAACTATTTGACTCTCGAAAAACAAACAAAATTTTTCAAAAGCGCTGTCCAGTTAAACATCTATCCGTTTTATGGGATTACAAAATTTTTTTTTCCTCCATTCATTTGCATCTCTAATATCTGTACTTATGCAGCTCATCAAAAAAATTAGAAATGAAGGAAAAACACCCTGTTTCCCGCTCCCATGCAGTGTTTCAGTTGCTTCGTGAATGCCTTTTCTCCCAAACACACGGGCTTGACAAAGCAACATCGATGTCACAAAAAAAAAAAAAAAAAAAAAAAAAAAAAAAAAA